CGTGATTTTGAGAATTAGGTGTGTGGCAGACTCGCACACGGTGACCCTTTTTTTTGGAATGAGACATAGGGGCTCGAAGAAACAGAAAGAGTGATCAGATGGCCACGTGGCATGTCTGATTTGTAGGCAGGCATGTGATCATGTCTGAGGCCAGCATTGCATCCAGATGAAGACAGAGGGACAGCAATCAGGTGGTAGGCCACGTGGCATGTCTGGTTAATCCACAGTCGTATGAGCTTGTATTGGGCCAGCATTGCGTCCAGGTGAGGAGGAAGGAGCAGGGATCAGGTGGTAACACATGGGACGGTCCACGTTTTTTTTTTTTTTAATTTAATTAAATGGTGCACGTGCTCCTTACTGGCAGTGGACAGTATGTGGCTTTTTTTTTCTTTTTTTTTTTTTGAAAGGTACACATGCTTGTTACTGGCAGTGGACAGAATGTGAGTTCGAATCCTCATGGAATCACGTGAGCGAAATGAAGAATATGGCGGTAAAACAGAATGCGAGTTCGGATGCTGGTGGAATAATCACATGAACAAATAAATTAACGGGGGGATACCCCCATCAAACTTCAAAGATACCATCACTTTTTTTTGAATGAAAAACGGAAAAAAAGAAAAAAAGAAAAGAAAGAACAGAGTGAATTTCAGTGATGTAAATATAGTAAAAAAAAAGAAGAAACGTTTATTGGATGTACACTGAAAATGTGGGGAAATCCGAAATAGCCTTTTTTCCTAGGCTACCAGCCGGGCCACCCTGATCACCCTATTTTCCCGGGCGGCCCGGCCGTGCAAGGACCAGTGGTGGTCCGAGCCAAAAAAAAAGGAAAAACGAATCCGAAAAAAAAAACTATAGTATGCAGGAAAATAAACTGAACAACTTTTGCCTCATGTTCACATCGAAATTCTTTACCAAATTTAAAATAAAATTTTATTTTTTAAATGAAAAAATAATAATTATTTTTTAATTTCTTTTTGGCCCCGCCGGGCAAGTGGACCCGGGCCACTCTGGTAGCCCAGCTTTTTTCAAGTTTTTTGAAGTTTTTCTTGTTTGTTTTGACTTGTTTTTGTTTTTTCCTGCTTTTGAAAAGAAATCACTCTTTCATTCAGGGGGAATCAAGGGCCAGTTCCCAAAGCAATACAGTTTGTTTGTTTGTTTTTCCTTAAAAAAAAAAAAAAAAAAAGCAATACGTATTGGATTGACTCAGATTGAGATAACACAGATGGAGATAACAATAGAATATGAAACACTGGAAGTTATCAAACCGGGCGCAAACCGGGCGAAGCGGGCAATTGTGGCTGACTGGCCCCTGAGACTGAGAAATTCAGCCCCTGACCTCTTCACCCATCAAATAAAAATGCACTGTCGTTATTTGTTGTATGTAGATTGGACGCTCACCCAAATACATCGATAATGGCTGTGTTCCATTCGCCCAAGAAAGACAGCAGGTTGAGCCCCTTCTTGTGCAGGAGGCATCAGACATTATGCCTGTTGTTCTATCTTAGACTGGATGCTTGCCCAAAAACATCATAATGCCTGTGGTCCAAAACCATCTATCAGGCCACTCTGGGGAAGAAAGGCTGGACCACTTGAGGCCACTGGTGTTCACTCTCATGACCAGGTTCCATGTATCCTCCAGGAAAGAGGTCCCACTTGCATGGATTACGAGGATATCAGCCGTTGATCTTCTTCTTCTTCTTCTTCTTCTTCTTCTTCTTCTTTATTTTATTTTATTTTAGTTTATTTTAAGAATGACATTCAGTTTCATTACAAAGCAACACTTTAAGAATGAAATTGCACTTCAGGTATTCCCCCCAAACATAACACACCCCCACACAACCCTACCTGACTGGAAAGCTAGCTTAAATACATTGGCCCAAGTGCAATTTGGAACTGCTTCTTCTTCTTCTTTTTTTATTTATATATATATATATATACAGCCTCCTGATGAGTCGGTGAAACTCCGACGAAACAGTTTGTCACAGCCCCTCGTTTGTTGTCCTCTTCTCTCTCTCTGCCTACGGTTTACCGGCCAGTTCTATTTGTTACGATATATATATATATTTGTGACCATATATATATATATATATACTCCGACGAAACAGTTTGTCACAGCCCCTCGTTTGTTGTCCTCTTCTCTCTCTCTGCCTACGGTTTTACCGGGCAGTTCTGTTTGTGACGATATATATATATATTATTATAAAACTTCGTAACTGCTTTTTGCCCTTTTTTTGTGTGACTCCCGCGTGGTTTCCCGTCTTTTTGCTTTAATAAAGCAGAATCAGATCACTGTGTACTACTCCCGAGACTGCAAGTGTGATGCTATAGCAGAGGTGTGCAGCGGCGAGGTCCCACTAGCAAAGAGCATTAGATTGAACTCCTGGATCTGGATGTGTTTGTAGAAAGGTGCAGCAGAAAACCGATATTTAACTGCTTTTCTGCATCTCTGCTAAAACGCGTCCAGATTCAGGAGCTGAATCCAGTCCTTTTTGCTAGTTAGTCCGAACCTCACCCCAGGAACTTCCCACTCAACCACACAAACTTGGGATTCTGAGGGCGCGCACGCACACAGCGGTGGCATAGCAGCAAAATCTGAAAACGTTTTTGCTATCTCGATTTTGCTGAAATTCCACCCCACCCCGCCCGGGCCCATAGCGGAAGCAACTCACAAAAGACACGAGCCAGACTTTCTGGCAATTATTGCCAATTTGAAAGTGGTGCCTCGCATGGTCATACAGCTCGAGGTCCAAATTCTTCAACCTTTTTTTTTTGTTTTTTTCTTCAACGAAGTTCGTTTTAAATTTCCTTTCACGAACTCGCAGACTGAAAAAAAAAATAAAAAAAATTGCTATCACCTCCAGAGGTGGTAGCAAAATGCCCTTCCGTGCGGCCTGCCAGACCGCTAACATTCAATACCCCGTTTGCTGGTTTCGGCACTTTTCCTGTCTCGAGCGACCGGCCCGACCATCACATTTTAGATATTTTTTAGTATTTTTTTCGTAAAAGGCCCTAGTGTGAGTAGGCCCCTGGGGCTCGGACCCACTAGCCAAGTTTTATGACTTGGGCGATGGGGTTTGTGTGTTTTTTGCAGAATAAAATAATCATTAAAAAATGGCAAAAGTCGTTGGTGGTTGTTGAAAGCAAATACAAAAAACAGTGTTTCTCTGACTAGGATGACCCAAAAGAAGCGTACCGTCCGTAGTAGCGCGAAGGGGTGATATGTTTTTGGCATCAAACCATTGAAACGGACGGGACTCCTACCAAGCAGCCCATTAGGGGCGGAGGCCCCTTGTCAGAGGCACTCGATGCTTTCAATTTTCGCTATGTGAAAGTGTCATTTCTGGCTTAAAAAAAAAAAAACCGAAGTGGCAAAATCAACCCCCCGCTTTGAAAACCATTAAAGGCAACTTCGCACCCACTTCAATGCAGCAACGTAAAAGCATTAAAAATGAATTGAAATCCTATCATTGGAGGGGGCGGGAAAACAACGACCGCCTCTCGTGGAAATTGCATGGGCCGTCTCTTCTGCACGTGACCAACGGCAGCGATCACCCGAAAGTGCCACATGTGATTAAAACGGAGGTCGCGCCGTTGTAAAACTTCGCAGGTGGGTTTGAGCCTCCTTTTTTTCTTTCATATTAAACCACCACTTCCTTTCACAGGCAAAGGCAAAGTCCATGTAGTAGCCTACTCCTTAAAACACGGGGCTTGGGACAGGGTTGGACGCCGACGGAATAAAAAAGGAAAAAAAAGAAAAAACAATGAAAGAAAAAAGAAAGTTTCAAATCCAGGAACGTCGGGGAAGGCCCTCAGGAGGGTGGAAGTTGCAGAGGCCTTTGAGGAATGTATCTGGCCACTTCGTGGGGAAAGAGTTTGCCTTTTTGTTTCATTTTTATTTTGTTCTGATGTTGTTTTAGTGCCCTGCAAGGCAGGCAGGGCGTATTTCACGGGTGGCACATAACTGTCTCCATGCTGTAGCATCCTGTTTCTGCCCTCAATCACAGCGTAAGGGAGCTTCTTCTTCTTCTTCTTCTTCTTCTTTTTTTTTTTTTTTTTTTTTTTTTTCTTGCTGTGTGTTTGTCCTTTACACGCTCTCACTGAGGGCACAGTCACACGAGCACCTCATTGAATGTACCTTGGCAGTTATTGTGGCGTTTGGGATGTTTTTTTCCTTTTTCTTGTTTTTTTTTCCCCGTTGTTCCTTCTTGGATGAAACACCCCCGGCTAGGCAAAACTCGGTGCGCTGTGAAAGTCAGGGCGTCGATAGACACTCCTTACGAGTTCCTTGAGCCACAAGGAATTTTCCTTGTGGCTCATAACGGAATTTGGCGGCTTTGTTCCACACATCCTTGGGAACGTACCCCAAGAACGTTTCCTTGTGGCCTGCCTGCGGCCATTTGCATATGAAGATATACGGCCGTGGGCGGGGGTGTCCGTGGTCCAGTGTCCGGTGTCCGTGTGGAGACGGCGTGGTCCAGCGACGTCCGGCGGAAAAGGGCATGAGGCAGGCCACAAAAAATAAAATAAAAAAGGGGGACCTCTACGTTTGAAATTCAAAATTTGAAGTACAGCTGTGGTGACGACGACGAAGTTCGGCTTGCAGCGCGCATAGGGTGCAGGGCTGAATCGGCCTTAGCGGCGGCGTCCCTTCCGCCCACCTCCCGGCGTCTGCGCAGGGCTGAATCGGCCTTAGCGGCGGCGTCCCTTCCGCCCACCTCCCGGTCAGTGTACGTGCGTACACCGGGTGCGTCTATCACCGTCGAGCTTCTCCTCCACATCGTCCGCGCCGTCACACGCCGTTCCGCCAGGGGGACGACATCCATGGAAATGCGGCAGCTTCTCGGACCTCTCCTCGAGGGGTGAGTGGGTTACATCTCTGGGGGGCGAGGATTGAGACGGCAGCGTAGAGACGTCATCCCTGTGGAGGTGGTGGCAATGGAGGGTAGCGGAGAGGGCGGACGTGTGCTGTTGACACTGCTTGAGCGGGCAGCTGTGGCGGCGGCCGTGTCAACCCGTTATTCTTCGTTGTCAGCAGGAGAGGGCGCAGGGACAAATGAAGGAGCAGTTGCGTGCGCGTAGAAGGAGGACGCTGGTGCAAGCTGTGGATGACGGCCCCGACTACGTGGAAACTTCGGAGGCTGTCATTGAGTTGTGCTACATGTTGGGTTGCGGCGTCGTTCCGCGAGCGACACTGAGGTGGTGGATCAAACGCAGGATGGTGGGGGCATGGGAAGACCTTCGACAATGCGACGATGGCACGGCTGACTACTTCAAGGAGAAGCAGCACAGCGCCGAGGAGGAGCAGAGGGACCACCAGAAGCAGCACAGCGATGAGGAGCAGCAGAGGGAGCCTGCGTTACAGGCCATCCATGAGCCTCACGGTGGAGAGGACAGCAATGAGTATGGTGGAGAAGGCAAGAGTCTTATCGGACGTGCAGCATGTGACGACATGAATGGGAATACGATGCTCGTGAAGGAACCTCTTCTGTGGATGGACTGAAGGCGTTGCCGGGGAAAAAAAAAAGTTTTCGATCATTGATGCCGGCCGAGGCCCACCGCCAACAGTAGCTGTTTGGGGGCGTTGGGGGACTACGCATATGTTCCTCGAGCACGCGAGACCGCATGATGCTGGTTGAAAACGACGACGCCACCCGATGGAGGCCCACCGCCAACAGTAGCCGTTGGGGGACGTTGGAGGGCGGGGATGTCCGTGCTCAAGCCGCTGGACCACATCTGGACCACCCAAGAACCAAAACTCTCCGTCGACGCATGTCTTCGCGACTCCATGAATCACGGTTCCTTGAGCTCCAAGGGACCTCACGAGGTCCCTTGGAAATAAGGAAGTTGTGGTTGGGGCCAGAAGGATGCCACAAGGAATTTTCCTTGTGGCGTTTTCACATTTCTTTTTCAATTTCGTCCCCAAGGGCAGGTGGAACGAGCGCATCCTTGTGGATTTCACGTCCCCGAGGAGTGTCTAACGAGGCCCTCAGGCTCGGCAAAACAGAGTCGGAGATAGTGGTGGTTTAAAAGAAGAAAACGAAGAAAAAAAAATGGCGACTGTCTTGAGGTATGATCATTGAACTGATCAGCCCCAGGTAGCTCACAGTTTTACTCTCTTCCCGTCAGGATTCCAACTCAGGTGATATTTATGAATTGTTTTATGGGTGTGTAGTGTTTCTTAGAACCACTCTATATTCTTCTCTCAATCTTCTTGTTTATATAAATATTTTTCCTAATCTATCTCATCCTCTTGCTACGCTATGCATACTACGGGGGACCACCACCCAACCAAACCTGGAACCTGGACCTCTCCCCAGCCCACGGGCCTACGGGCCCAGGGGGTAGGTTGGCACCACAACAGTGGTGCGGGAGCAAGGCTTCTATCAGGCCCTCGACACGATGATGAGGGGTGATTAGGCATTTCCGACAGGGGAAACCGGCCATCCTAGTGCTGAGCATCTTTTACCAGTTGCTCGCACCTCCTCCTACCCCCATCCAACCCCACATTAGCGGTGTTTAATGGCGAATATCATTGCCGCATAACAGTCAACAACATCAGCCAAGGTCCTGCCAATGCTGGCTTGGGGGGCCAACGGGTTATCTCTAGCTGGTAGAACACCAAGCTCGCCTGACACGTATGTGAGGGCAATGGGGATTGAACCCATGACCTCCTGAATGTGACTTCTGTGCCTTACCAACTGAGCTAGGCCCGCAGGCCTATGGTTGTGTAGTGCTGTGCACCATTTAGCCATATGGACTGGGTTTTCTTTTTTTCTTTTTTCTTTAAAAAAACAAGAAAAGAAAAACGAGGACCATTTCTCAATTTATGTGCGCTATCTTTGCGCAGGGGCCATGCTTTTTTTTTTTTTTTTTTAAACACCCGCAACAATGGATAGGAGTGATGATAAGAGCATGCCCTCCTACCTGTTATGCAGGGGGCTCCATTCTATTGGTGGGGAGCTGCACCTGCTGGAAATCCCCTTACGAATGAAATGTATATAACTTGATTGTGAGGTTCTCCGGGTGCTCCCATTGTGTCCGAACATCTGTCTGAACAAAATCCACCGGGTGCTCCCATTGTGTCCGAACATCTGTCTGAACAAAATCCACCGGGTGCTCCCATCGTGTCCGAACATCTGTCTGAACAAAATCCACAATTAGTTCCACTACATCGGAGTCTTCTAATCTTACATCTTCGCTTTCCCTTGCACATTGTTTGTACCATAGCGTCCAAAGAACAACCTTACACCCAATCATAAAGAAGTTTTGTTGAAAGTCTGATAACTGGATGGCTGCAGACTCCCAATAACCTAGAAGAATAGCCCTCCAATCCTTGGGTCAATCTAGCCTTGTCATGGACTTGTCCTCCAAATGCAATTCCACCTACGCCATATCAACACCGTACCAACACACTGCAAAAATATGTGCTCAATGGTTTCTCGGAATTTTCGACTAGGGAATGCAGACACACAAGACTTACACCATGACAATGCCATGCCTCGTTGTTCCAGCGTCGAGCGGTCAATCACCCAATCATTTGTGGACAAACACCGATGGATTATTTGCCACCGCAGAGAGGCAAATTTAGTTGGACGTTGCTTGAGAGCTCTGAAAAGTTTGATGTGTTTGATTAAATTTATGTCTATATTGAGGTGTTTAGCCCACCGTTCCTGTACAATTGCTGCAATATCCACTCTTGAACGAAGTAGCCTATACATGCATGACCTTGACTGTCAGAGATTGCAATACACGTGGCTTTCCTTTTTTACAGGTCAACCAGATCCACTCCTCAGGATCAAAAGGAAGATCGGGGATCGGGATTTCAGGGTGGTGGTATGCCTTCCACTCTTGGGAAGAGGAATAAAAAATCACCCTAACCCTGTACATGCAGTCGTAGGGAATCAGTTCCACTGTTTCCTTTGCGATCAGGGTATAATCTCTTTTGATTCCACATATGCTTACGTCATGCAGTAGGTGTATCACTTGGCCTATTTTATTGTGATCACTAGGTATGCATCCTACTACCCAGTCTGCTTCCTTGACGCAAATCCTTTTCCTCAACGTGCGGACCCACGCCAGTGGGATAAAAAAAACGATTTTATCCAAACAATCCGCTAGCCGATGAGCATACCTAAGTATTTCTCTTAATTGTTCCGCTGTTTTCCAGTCCTTTTTTGACGAGTCTTTTACCGGCAATACTCCCCTCTTGACCCAAAGAGACCATGGCATGGCAGAACTATTGAAGGTAACTCCATTGCTATCAGTAATCCATGTGACGAAGCACTTCCTCATATCTAAAGGGGAATGGTTTATTTGGTAGAGGTGAGTGACGCCAGATTGTGAGTAGAGTAACCCAAAAATCATCCAACCCAAGATCATTTCTAGATGCCCCTCTATCCCTTTCTATTCTGGATTGAGGGTGTTTTCTGGGAATGTCCCAATAGCGACTCTCAATCCATGTAAGGGGGTGCACATCCTCATTGGTAGGGGGAGCCAACCTTCAAATTTGCTCTGAAGCTAGCACCAACCAAGGTCTGTCAATACCAAAAATTAATTTTTCTTGATTGGCATTGCAAAGTTGGATCCAGAATCCCTAACCCGCCTCGTGATTTGGGTTGAATTATTGTAATCCAAGCAACCTTGGAATTACTTTTTTTTTTTTTTTTTTTTTTTTGGAATTACCTTTTCTTGCTCATGGTTACTTCTCCACAAAAATGCTGAAACCTGTTTTCCGAACGGCGGGCTGGGATCAGACAGAGATTCACTGGTGCCCCCCAGTGGTCCTGCTGGGTTCCAACTCACGTCCTTGCGTTTGGGTAGAGTAGATCAGTTAGCACATTTTGCAATGGGACGCTGGACCCGGTTTCCAGCAAGCTACCTCAAGATTCCTTATGCTTATTCCCCAATTGTCAGGGACGCTGGACCCGGTTTCCAGCAGGTGCTGCTCCCCACCAATAGACGGAGCCTCCCTGGAGTGCTAGCGGTGTCTGCAGAAACCAGTACCACTAGCATTACCCGGGTTGTTTTTCAAAAAAAAAAAAAAAACAATTTCATCCGTGTTTGGGAAATAGACCATAATGTAGATTTGATGGACCAGATTTTACAGATTCTATCAAACAACACTAATTTCGGTCAATTGACAACAATTAAAAGAAAAACTTCTTCACTTTTCCTTACGAAATGATATCTGGTGTCAAATCAATCTCTTCAACAAATGCTGGCTGGGCGGAGACCGTGGAGGGAGGCTGGGTAAAGTAATTTGGGAAGAAGGACACACTAACTCTCAGGAGCCCATCAAGAGGAGTTATCGGCTGATATTTCATGACTGGAGTTCTGTAGACCCTTCTATTCCCCTCAGTCCTGTCTCTGAGTTTCCGGACTTCTTTCCCCCTCCAAGCAACTGTTTAGTCCCTGCTTCTTGGAATGGATAGCCCCTTGGTAGTCCTTCAAAGAGAAAGATTTCTTCTTTTGGGGTATTCTGAAAATGAAAGAGGATGGGTGCTTGTTTTGCAAGTTCTTGCTGGCACCCAGGATGGGTGAAGAGTCATTAGACTCATCTATTTTGGACTTGGAAGGAAGGGGGTACTGGTTGTTTTTTTTATTATCAATGCTACTGTTATGTTATTGTACTCAAGGGGACGCTGGACCCGCTTTCCAGCAGGTGTTGCTCCCTACCAATAGATTGGAGCCCTCCATGAATCAGTGTATGCTCTTACCATCACTCCTTCCTGTGAATACGGGGTTTCTAAAAGAAAAAAACAAAAACAAAAAAAAAAAGTAGATTTATACCACATTGAGGCAAATACAACATTGTTAAGGATTAGGAATCTCCCAAACAAGGAGGTATGTTGATCCTTCCATTGATTCATCTTATCAAGTGCTGGGGCCAGAAACCCATTCTGAATCATCGTTAATGACCAGTTCGCCTTAAGCTGTGAGAGAGACTCCTTTTTTTTTTTGTTTTTTTTAATCTAAAATGAGGATCGGAGCATCAAGTGGTACCCAACTGATTCTTGGAAGTTCTGGTGGTCTAGTTCCGTTGGAGTGAATCCACCATCCTTGTGTTTTCCTTCTGCAGTTTACAACCATATCAGATACTTGGGAGAAACAATCTTCTTTCTCTGTATTGTTCCAGTCTTTAAAGGGCGGCCATACGACAACCGCTTTTGAATTATAAAAGCTGGAAAACGGGTCCGGCATCCATCAGATCATAGAAAAGGTTACAATCCATTCCAAACAGCACTACAAATTTAACGGATTGACAGAATCCCTGTTGTGCACAATACGGTTAACCTGAAGAAAAAACAGCAAAAACAAACCCTACAAAGGCAAAGCCTACCACCATTGAATACCACCCAACCCTGAGATCCACCCTGCCACCTGCGCGGCAGGGGTCTGTGACCGCAGACGCCGGAAACGCACCCACCTCCTCGCGATTCAAAGCAGATCAATCCACCCCCCGCGTTGCCTACCCTAAAACACCAACTCCCTCCATGACGGTGCATCAGCAAACCCTCAGAAATACCCTACCACCCGCGTGTCAGGGGCA